CAAATAATTTTGAAATTTGTGAAGATTGTTTTATTCATTTTTCAAATTCATAGGAACATTTTGTTGAAATACCTGAATGTTTAAAAAAAATTGTAAATTTTATGAATGGGCGAATATTTTTTTGAAATTTGGAACTTAATTAAGAAATCCTGAATTGTTTTCAATTCACCAACATTCATAGAAATTCGGATTTTTTTTAAATTAATGATTATTTTCAATTCGTGATTTTTATAAATTCGTAAATATTATTGAAATTAATGCACATTTTTTAATGCATGAAAACAAGGTGAATCGGCAAACGTTTTTTAAAATTGTGATGTTTCTCGAAATATGCGAAGATTTTTTGAATCGACAAACAATTTTTAAATTTTTGGCATATGTTTCAAATTTAGGTGAACATTTTTTGAAATTAATCGCTTTTTCTTAAATTTCTGAGTTTTTGTTGAATTGATAAATATTTTTGTAAATTTGGGTAGATATTTTGAATATTCATAATTTTTTTAATTAACAAACAGTTTCAAAATGAATGAGTATTTTTCATATTCATGAACATTTTCACATTATTTTCGTGTTCATCAAGGGGCTACGTCAAGCAGGCCATGACACATACAAGGAAGAATCAAGAAGCCTTGTCGTTCAAGACAATAACACCTCTTCATGGACATAGCCGACTAGGACTCATGTTATCCCAGGCTTCCGGTATCTTATATAAACCGAGGTTAGGCTAGTCGATAGACCAATCTCAACACATCTTAGAGATGAAATAGACAATCTCATGGTAGAAGCATTTGTTCTCTATACTCCATCCGTAATCAATACAAATGAAAGCATGATGTAGGGTATTATCTCTTCGAGATAGCCCGAAATAGGGTAACACTTCACTCCTCTTGGTACCATCGTACCTAGGCTACCAGCTCGGGACCCCCTTCCTGAGATTCATCGAAATCGGCCCATGCAGGACCCGAGGAGGTTTGTCCCTCCTTGGTCGCCCATACAAGTCCCTAGGAGTTGCCCCTCCATGATGGCAGAACGTAAAACACTGATATTTGACTAAGCTAGTTCCCGGAAATGTGATCCTTAGGTCGACCATGTTGCCCAACCTGAGTCTTGGGGGCTATTGCATTGGCGAATTAATACAGAAAGATCAAAATGCAATACGGTTCCCAGGGAGATTACGATCCCAAGTTGGTCGGTCGGCCGCACCTGATCCGACTCCCGAGGCTACTACACACCGTGATTTTTTCTAAAAGTATGCCACCAAGTGAAGGATTTGATCCTCAGGCTGATTTTCCGTGTCGACCCTAGTCTCGGGGGCTATTGGGATCGATGGTTTTATTCCAACTATCAGGTGCATACCGGATTTTGGGCTGACACACACCTTTAGGTCTACTGGCTACATATCTCGGCAAAGAATAAATTCCACCAAACGAAAAAATCGGCTCATGGAAACCGGCTTGACATGAAGACATTTTTACCGTGGAGGCTGGTCATCCACATCGACAACTCATGACCTAGGTGGTGCACTCCACTTCGCAAATAGTACGGCATTGTGGTCGACTGCTAGCGGCATGCTGCACGAGAGGCTACTCTGGCAAACAACTCGGCCATACTCCTACAAGATTTTTGAAGACCGAGGTGGTTCTCGTCACCTCGGATGCAGTCTGGCATCCAAGCTCGCCTGCAAGGAAGACACTGATTGGGACACGATCTCATTTACTGATGGGATGTACCAATAGTGGGGCCTCGAGCCACGCTCACATGTTATGCTGACAGCCGCACTGAGGGCACACCACTATTGCGAGGAAAGATGAATAGAGTCGGTCAGTGTTGTCGGAACAGGACCGGACTGTAATCTTGGAATTAGCACGGTAACACTTCAAGGCTAAGGCACCGACACACTGGAAAAGCTTCAATCTTAGGTGCGACGTGAAAATAACAAAGCATTTCAAGAAGGCCATAAGGGAACCTAGAAGGGGCTCCTCGGATACCTGACGTGTAAACTCTTAGGATACACCTCGGTGATTCTCGAGGTCGAAGATGGAAAGATTTGTTGAACTAGCTTTCAAGACCGATGACTGAAGAAAAAGAACAATTCGGAAGAACCGACGAGCTAGCATACCCGACTTGAAGACCGGTTCAGGAGATACCGATGGTGTCCTGGACTAGGGGTCGCTCACCACCTCGTTTTCGCGCCAGGTGGGCCAGACCGAGGACCCGCATGGAGGTTCATCAAGGGGCATATCAAGAAGGCCCATGACGTATATATACAAGAAAGAATCAGGAAGCCTTGTCATTCAAAACAAGGACTCCTCTCCACCGACGTAGCCAACTAGGACTCCTGTTATCATAGGCCTCTGGTATCTTATATAAATCAAGATTATGCTAGTCGATAAACTAGTCTCAACCATAGTTTTAAATAGCCGGCTATAGCGGTGCCGCTAAATGGCCGCCTTCACAAATAGCTCGCTATAGCCCGCTATAGCTAGGCTATAGCTGATTTGGAGCCCGTCACTATTTTTCATAGCCCGCTATTTAAAACACTGGTCTCAACATATCTTAGAGGTGAAATAGACAATCTCATGCTAGAAACATCTATACTCGGTACTTCATCCACAACTAATACAATCGAAAGTAGGACTTCGGTTAGTATCTCTCCGAGAGAGCCCGGACCTGGGTAAAACCTCGCGTCTCTTGGTACCATCGTACATAGCTATTAGCTTGGTACCCCATACCCTGGATTTGCCAGAATAGACTCGGTCACACTCCAAAACACACAACCTTCCATGATACAAAAATTTGGAAACTGTTGTTTGCTCGGAACCTCTACTATTATGATACAAATTTAACCCCCGGGAAACTAGATATTGCCCACTAGAGCCTGAGTTTTATCCAACATCCATACTTTTGTTGAAACCATAATTTCATCTGCATCAAATTTCTTTTATCAAGAAATAGAGTGATGTTACTTTTTTACCATTTTTGCAATGAATTTCATTGTACAAGGCTATTTTAAGCATAACTAGGGTTAGTAAATAATTAAGATGAATTGGAACTTATTAAATTTTTATATTCTAAAACTTATTTTTACCATGTTTGAACAAGTATAAGTTTCTAGTATTATTTATTTGGCATTGTCTAATATATTAGTTTTAGTGTTCTTTTTTACAACTTGTAATTATGTCATTGAAAACTACATTTATGTTGTGCCAAAGTTAATCTAAATTTTGTAGCAAAATTTCCTTCTTATATTCTGAATACTTGAATCTATACACATTTATGGTAGATATGTTCAAAATATGTAGTCTAAGAAATATCTTAATATCGGCTTTAGTATACGATTAGGTAAGCATACATGTAGAAACTTCTAGTATATAAATGGAACTATTGTCATGATTCTTTTCCTTTTTCCATGGTCAAATATGTGTTGCAGGTTGAAAAGTGTGTATGTTCATTACTTGGTATTAACTTGCGTTTCTAATAATAATCATGGACAAATAAAAAGGCAACATACATACAGTTTGATTGTTTGATGTGCTTGCCCTCAATGTGTTTGGTATGTACACAAGTGCTTCCTTGGCTACGTCTTGATGACTCATCTCTTGCTTTATAATTCTCCATCATTGAGTGTGAAGAACATGGTGAAGTCTTGATGTTGGTCGGCCTCGAAATGGGGCTCCACAGTGGTACTCACTCCATTGTGGTACCTAGACATTGTTATGTATGCAAGTGCAAAATATAGTGATATAATTTTGCCACTGCTCCTTTGCGCCTCCTGGATGATATGCTCCCCATGTGCGACAGAAAATTCCTCTTATGAACAGAAGGCCACCTCGAGCATCTTCCTTGTCTAGTCGTCGGACCCAAGGGGAAGGAGGGGGATCTCCACACCTGTCGTTTTCACGATAGCCCTCTCATACCCATAGTTGGCCTCTGGAGTCTAGACCCCGTCGAAGGTATCTATGCTCAGGGGCATAGATGAGCAGGTTCAGCGTGCGTGGAAGAGCAAACCCCCAGAATTTAGGAGGCCCAATAAATTATTTAAGGGGGGGGGGGGATCCTATGAGTTAAAAAATGTTAATCATGTAACCTTTCATATATTTGGATTAGTTGGACAGCATTCGAGGTGGACAAAAGTGGCTTGTGAATGAGCCTAGTGGTTAAATGTGTGTGCAATATGAGCATATGAGCCAAATGACCTACATGAAAAATACAAATGTGCCTATGTGAACACTCGACCTGATTACGTTGGGCATAAGAGCCAGGTGATCTGCGCGGAAAATACAGAAACGACTAAGTTAACACGTGACCTAATAATACCGAATAGACAACCGATAACCTCCAACCTTAAGGCTCAATTTGTGATTAATTTTGTTGGGTGAAAAATAGTGTATCTTAGTGAAGCACAATTGTACTTCATTTTCATTAAATTTGAGTGCTCCATAATTTTCATTTCCGTTGTAACGCATGTGCATATGTGTTAGTATTTACATAATAGAAATTAGAAAAAGAACGCTTGGGGCGAGGAAGGATCACTAGAGGATAAGTGTCATAGGGAGGCAGGAGCGGGAGTAACACATGTTTCCAGAAAAAGAATCTTATGAGTCACCTCAAATACAATATGGGTTCATATATTCGCTACAAGTGAACAATTATTATTACTAATTTAATGAAATAATTTCTGGTTTATTGGAGTTATCCATCCACTGTGCTATGAAGCCAACTCCGAGCTGGAGTGGCAAAGCTTCGTGTTTTTCCTAATGCGATGAAAACAATCCTTTGACCAATGTCTTTCGTAAGTCACATGGGCATTTAGCTATGTCGGACAATATTGATATTGAACTACTAGAATATTCATACCCCTGTTGAAGCGCACGGGCTTCTTGCTATTAGTAATTGTCGAACACTTGTCTTAAGGAATCCTAATTCACTTTATATCATGAAATATTGAAATGGAGGGAGTAAAACTGATCAAAATTGATATATTTCCATTCTTTCAGCGATTACAGACCCAATGGCCAACCGTCGACGATGGTTGACCAAAAGACTTTAACAAAGACCAAAGCTCCGTTGCTGAACCGATAAGGTAGCTGCTCGTTGCCGTGCTTGGATGATACAAAAGAGAGCGCTTCTCGCTTCTTCTCCATGAAGTCTATACATAGTGTATCGCCTATGCTCACAGCAGCTACAAATTTCTTATTATGCTTCCCAGGTGAAGCTATAAAGCTGTCATCATCACAACACTCACTGATAAAGGAGTAGACAGCTTTACCACGGACAGTTTTGGCACGCATCAGCACATTGAAGCCGCCTGTTGGCAGTTGGCACCTCCACAAAATCGAGGTCTATAGTTGCCTCAACACCTTTACGAACAACATGTGTCTTGAATATAATTTTACCATTGACGTTATCAACATGGTTAGCCGTTGTCGAGTCAAACTGCCCAAAGGCTTTCACAGATCCATCAATAATTGACAAATCTTTGTCAACTTCCTTGCCCTTGATCTTTATATCAATTTCAATCAGGCAGCCGATTGCAGATATGCCCCGTGCAGGGTAGCTCAGACTTAGAAAACCACCATTCTAAAATGTAGCCAAGAATTATTATCAATCCCAGAATTAATTTACAGTATAGATAGCTAGACAGTATATATATGGCAATTTTGAGTTCAAAACTTTTGCAAATACAGGTTTAAGTGGAAGATTTAGACAGGAACATAGTGTTCATAACAAACGCAAACGGACAGAAATATAGTGTTCTTAACCAAAGCAATGGACACAATATATAATATATGGACCTACAATTGAGTAAATGTACCCATAATTAACCATATGTAGAGTGCTAATAAGAAAGAGTGTAGAATTACCACGTCGATAGCTTGAGCGTTCTCCCTGGAGCGTTGAAAAATATAGTTGCGGGAAGAATCCAAGGAATCCCTTACAGCAAGCAAGCCATAGACATGAATATGTGTATTGCCACGCATGACATTCAAGGCGTTCCTGTAAAACTGGACAAAAACAGCCAAAAATTGCAGCATAGGGTGAGGATAATGAGAGCATCCGTTCCCGAGGAGTTGGCAGGAAGTATAGCGCATCGGCGGCAGCACAGGTACAGCTGGGGAAAAGAAAAAGAAAAAAGAAGTGAGCAGATTGAAAAATAAAACCTGTTAAAAGATGGAATGATGCAACTTACAGTCTGAATGGTTGAGCACGCGATGCTGTCGGATCCACAAAAGGTTATCTGAATCGTCCCGAACATCTCTGGACAGGTTAGGGTCGAGGCTCTTACTAGGGTGTATCTGTTTGCCCGGCCGAGGATCCTTGCGGCGGTCCTTCCGGGATCGGGACTGACGGCGCTCTTGGAGGCGGGTCTTCTCTTCTCTGTCCTGATCCAGAACTCCTATGATTGAGCGGCGTCTCTCCTCGGACAGCAAGGCCCACCCCTCGTCGGTGAACATGAAGTCAAACTCGGATGGCCGTGGCAGGCCAGCGCCAGGGCTACCTTCTGTTGCGTCCATCCACGGCGCCGGCGGATTTTAACACGGGGGGATTGGGGATTGGCGCCGGCTGAGCATAGTGAGAGGCACCGGTGAGGAACACAAAGCCCCTGTTCTTGTTCTATGCATTGATGTGGGACCGAGCTACCCCTCAGCAGCACCACCTCCTAAGAGAGAGTTCATCAGAGACCCGAAAATGTTCCGTGTGGGAACCTACCAATGAAGATTTGGTGAAACCAGTCTCGGGCTCTCAGCACTCACCAATGGTGCGAACATGGTTTATGTTTACGTGAGAGCTTTGAAGATATGATAGAGAGATAAAGAAATGGGAACCACACGCCAAGCCGTCAATAACCCCACATCGCCACCATCCAAGGGTCAAGCCTAAAGTTGTGGTATAGTCTATGGATCGAGACCACTTCCCGTTCATCTTATGTATTATCTTTGTCCTGTTTAACTCTTTGTTACCACCATCTTTTAGAGTGCATGTGGTTGTATTTTGATATATGTATCCTCGTATAGACACTTTTTTATATAGCATTATGAATCAATAAAGGTGTCTTTTAATGAAAAATGAAGAAGTTATATATTGCTATTTACTTGTATACCATGTTTTAACATTAAGTGAAAAAGTGAGTTCCCTGGAAAAAAAAAGGGACCGACCAATGGCCAAGCGACTGAAAACTAATTTTTGGTCGGTCACTTTGTTTATCCTGCTTGATTACCACGAGGCCCCGCATTGCAGCAGGTCAGCCCACCTTTTGTCATGTAGATGAAACATGCCAACTTTTTATTGTCCTTCACTACCAGGCCATGCATTTAGATGAAACATCGTTGCCTTATTTTTCTTATTCTCCATCACTAACACGCGATGCTTGCATGCAGATGCATGCAAAGCTCCTTGGTGATGCTACATGCCTTCGGATTTATGATTGTACCGCTTGAGTTCAACTAGAACGAATATCCGACATGGTATTGGTAGGCATATATACGAATCTCCATCTTTTATGTTCTTTGTAACGTAAAATGAGAAATGAATAAAATTAATATGGGAGCAAGAAACATCAGCATGTGTCAGATAAAAAAGGATTTCATTTGTATCGGTTACTTTTACTTACTAGTAAATCCTTACGTGCAATGTATGTTGATATTAGACAGTACATTAATTGCACGCATATATTAGATAGGATATTATTTGCATGTTAATTATTTGAGTAGTGCTGGAATTGATATTTGATACAATGTTAATTGCACGCTAAACGTGTTGAGGGCTCACCATTGGAGCAACCCGAGTCGTTGGTTTGAACTAATTTAATGGTCGAGATTTGTTGGATATACCCTTTTGGGTCTTTTTATTGATATCAATAGACTTTTTTAGAGGAGCACTTGGTCCTAGGTGACCAATAAAGAAATCCATCAGATACTTGGGCTTGGTCTAAAACATATCAAAATGACCCGAAGCCTTGTAAGATATAAGACAATAACAATAAAAACAAAGAAAAATAAAAGTAAATAAAAAATAAAATATTCTAACAAAGAATGTACTAGTGGCATAGGTATCACCCTTTAAAAAGAAAAATAACGAAAAAAATTCACATAATTTACATATAAATTCCATATTTTTATAATATGCATAATAAGTGGATTTTCTGGAAAACAAAGAAGTTCCCTAAGAAGATATGAATTAGTCACATTGGAATTACCCTTAAAGAAGAAACAAATGAAACTAAAACTAAAATAATAAAAGCAATGAAGTTTTTATAGGAAATAATGAATTAGTAATGTTGGTTTTACTCTTTAAGAATAAAGAAAATAAAACATAATAATGATCAAACTTGCACACAATTGTCATAAAAGTTGTGCTTTACTGTAATATGCAATAATAAGCATATAATAGTGGAATTTCCACACAAAAAAATTCCTAAGAAGAAAAAAATTAATGGCATGGTATTGCCCTTAAAAATGAACAAACTGAAATATACACTAATAGAACAAGAACAAAATAAAAATCAAAATAACAAAGTTTTCTAAGAAATAATGAATTAGGGGCCTTGGTATTACCCTTTAAGAAAGAAAAAGCTAGTCAAAAAATTTGCATACAATTCACACAAAAAATGTGTTTTTATATAATATGCAACTATAAACATATAATGATGGAATTTTTGCAAAGAAAAAGTTTCCTAAAAAGGAATGAATTAGTGACACTGGTATTACACTTGAAGAAGAAATAAAATATAATATAAAATGAAATAAATTCAAAAAAATAATGGCAAAATTTGCACACAATTTAGACAGAAATTACGTTTTTATAATATACAAGAATGAACATATAGTAGTGGAATTTCGCAAAAAATATGTCTTCTAAAATGGAATGGATTAGTGGTATTGGTGGAATTAGTGGAATCACCCTGAAAGAAGAAAGAATGAATTAGTGGAATCACCCTGAAAGAAGAAAGAAAATGAAACAAAACTAAAACAAATAAATTATAAAGTTTTGTAAGATAGAATGAATTAGCGACATTGGTATTACCATTTAAGAAAGAAATTTAAAAAAAACTTTGAAAAAGACTTGGCACTTCTTAAATATGTAAGAAATAATCATATGATAGTGCAAGTTTCGCACTCAGTATAATTATACATGTATTATATAATACTTAGGGCTAGTTTAGCAGCATAGTTTTCCAAATACAGTAGTATCCCGAAACCTCGGTATTGCAATGCGTGTGCAATAGTACATACTTCGGTTTCTTACAACTGCATTTTTCTTAGTTTTAAGAAAACAACCGATATGTTTGGCTGGTGCTGTTTTATGGTAGTTTTGACCGATTGCTACGCAACTGAACCTAATTAACTTGGCTACACAAAAGGAGCTACACCACCGGATCAATCAGCGGGTGCTAACGGCTGCCCGGCTGCATGCGGCGCCATACGGCTGGCTAATTGCTGACCTAGTAAGTCGCGGCCTCGCGGGCGCAATCTACACACGCGCATGGACTCGTGTTGATGGGCTCAATCGGTCGAGCAGGGTAGGGCGTACCTTTGTTCCCACCAGGTGGTCAACTTGTCCATGGCAGCAGAGAAGATGCATGGATGAACCGCACATAAGGTGGACGGCCGGAAGAAGATGGGCCCGCCAGAAACAATCGCAGAAGAGAGCAAAGTAACGATTGCGTTTCTCGGTTTATATGAAAAAAAGAGGCTGGGACTTCCTTTTCTAATACAGCAAAAAAAAAACCCCGATTTCAAGAAAACTACAGTTTCTAAACTTTTGTATCTGTTCATGCCAAACACATCAAAGTATTTAAAACCATGGCTTTATTGGAAACGACGGTATTTTTTGTAAAACTGCAAAAATACAGCGCTGCCAAACGCAGCCTCACATGCATTCTTTTTGCATTTACCCAACTTCCAGAAAATACCCATAAAAACCGACTAAAAAGAAAAAAGACAAGCAACAATTGTCTTTTATTTAAAGCAAAAATTAAAAAAATGCATACAAAAATAAAATAATGAAGCACTGTTGGGCTTCAGCGCAATAAGGAATCGACCGACCCAAAATAGTGATCAGTCTGAAATTCGGGCCCAATAGACAACAACAGTCACAAGAGGGAAAAAAATACATAAAGGAGCAGAAATCTCGAAACAAAAATCAACGGCCAAAATAACCCAGTGACCCACATTTAATTTTTAGGGCACTTACATGTAGCTAAATTGGGAAACAGTTTTGCTAAGTCTGAGTCGATTGAGACTTTGTTATGTCTCAGTCGATACTATATTTCTTTGATTTTGCATGAAGATTCGTATAAAAATTTATTTTTGGTTTTTCATTTTTCTTTTTACATGCTATATCACTTGACTGGTGAAAAAAAATAAAAGGTACAAAAACGGGTCAAGCAGATCAAGTCTGGTACTCCAACATTAGACTGGTAGCTAGCAACACCTCTTTCGGAGAGAGCAAGCAGGAAGCAAGCATGCCCACTGCCAACTGCGAACACCACAGCGCCGCGGCGGCCGCGTCACGCCGCCGACTCCGCATCTGCTTCATCGTCTCCCTCGCCGTACTCCTCCTCCTCCTCGCTGTGGCCGTCGCTGTGCTAGCCATCACGGCGCTCCGCCCGCACCCGGCCGACACCACCATCTCTACGATCCGGCTCACCTCCGTGTCTCTCTCCCCTGGACTCTCCCTCAACGTGACGCTCGACGTCGTCCTCTCCATCCGCAACCCCAGCCTGGTCGCGTCCTTCGCGCATGACGCCGGCCGCGCTGAGGTCTACTACCATGGCGCGCTCGTCGCGGACGCCAACGTGCCGCCCGGACGCATCGGCGCGGGAAGCACCAACGTGGTGACCGTCAGGCTCACGGTGCTCGCTGACCGCCTCGCCGGGTACGCACCTCAGTTGTACGGCGACGTGCTCGGCGGCGCTGGGGACGTGTCGCTCACCATGCGGACGACCGTGCCGGGGACGGTCACCGTTCTCGGCCTGCTCAGGCACCACGCCGTCGTGCTCACGGTGTGTGATGTCGTTGTCAACATGCGGCGCCCCGGCGCACAGAGCTCGTCGTGCCTGTACCGGACAAAGTTCTAGCTAGCTTACCACCCATGGCCAGAGTTCTGGTTTAGCAATATTTGGATTAGTTTTGGTGGTCATTTACTTGAATCATTATTATCAAACCTAAGGTTGGTGAAATCTCTTTCAAGATTCTGGCCAAGCTTTTATTGTTTTCGATCGGTGATTCTGCAGACAATAGAAATTTCATGATGCTCAAAATTAGATAGAAAATGAATACAGATCAATGTGGTCGATTAAGCTGATGTTCCAAGTTCCAACTCGCAGGTTTGATGAACACCTAAAGCATGACCAACAAATAACTATAGTGCGTACGAACGGGTCACAGAATGGGCATGAAGTAGCCAGTTAGCAACATGAGGTTGTAGATATTAATCAGACATATGTATCTTGTGACCAAACAAAGACCCAAAATTTGAAACTGAAACTGACAAGCAGAGGCAACTACTTCGTGTGACCTTCGACTGAACTCCCATTCTATGGCTTCGAAACTCAAATTTCCGATGCTTAAGAACCGATATAACTCTATATAATTCCAACTAAAAGATTTGCTAGGTGATGGCAGATGAGGATGCAAAATGAGACTATTTTGGTGATGTGCTGAATCGCAGATGAAAATGTAGAGGGTTTAACGCTACAAAGCACCGGTTAGTTTTGGCGATTTGCTGAGTTGCAGATGAAAATGTAGAGAGGGTTTAACGCTTCAAAGCACCAATTAGTTTCAGTGCTGTTTCTTGTCGATCAAAAACATGCAGACTATCAGTATCAGACCTGCAGTGAATGGTTAAAGCACAGACATCCAGCAATGCCAGGAAGTAGAAACGCTGGAATAGACGCAAACTATCATCACAAGTTAATGTTGCAAAAGGATTAACAAAGAATGTGGGCAGCTGAAGATTATTTGCAAGGGCTTTGTATCAGCGGCATTCACCATATACATTGTTGGCTCAATAATTTAAAATGTGTATGATCTATATTTTCGGTGCCAAAACCCAAGATATTGAGGAATCTTTGCACTGTCAAGTAGATATTAACTGTGACTTCCACAAAATTCAGTGAGCCCTAAAATCATCACTGCTCGAATTTCACATCTCAAATTACTCAAAAGAATGGGAAATGAATCATAGTGCACAGTGGTTTGGTTTGCTGGTTCGCCATAGCTAAACGGTGCCAACTATGAATCAGTGTTTTTCCAATGCAACTCATCCCTTGGCAGAATATTGCTGATGCTGATGAGCGACTTACCTGCCATTCCATGAATAACCTGCAACTACTCTCACCCACTGGTCAATATTCCAACTAATACTTTGAACCCTCGGCTTACAAGGACACATTTGAGTTGAAGGTTACTGGTTATATCTCCGTGATCATGTTCATTCTGAACAGCTTTGTTTCATAGCATGATCCGATTATCAAATCTATAACAGTTTAAGGAACAGAGAGGTCCTGCTTGATCGTGGGAAAACAGAGGATGTGAGCATCAGCATACACACTGCACAAGCACGTGTCCGCAGCCCCGTGGTGACGACTGTTCAGTTCGCTCTAGTGCAACCAAAGAGCACCGGATACAGATTATGGAGAAGAGACTTCTCGATCAATCTCTAGTTTCATATAACAAACATGCATACTGGATCGACTAATCTGGATAATGAACTAACTTTTACATCTTCCAAATTCTGAAGCAAATGATCATAATGACTTTACCCTTCTCCAGTTGTGGTGTAACACAACAGGCCTGGTGCTGTCCTCCTTGAGACATGAACAAATTTTATTTCTTCAACTTATGTTCAGATTAAACATAAACATGAAGCACTAATACTCAAAAAATTTAGCAGGAAAAGTAAAACAGTAAAAGATTATTCCAAACAATGCAATGTAAAAACGGTGTCAGTGTGGAGGCACAAAAAGGTATTCATAGATTTTCAGATTGCAGTATGAGTCTATTCTAGACAATATTACAGCTCATTGGAAAGAGACAAATATAACCATGTTCAGTTCTCTATAATATCAAGCTTAAAGTCTTCATAAGACTTATAACTACCAAGATGCAAAACTGATTCACAGAGAAAAATGAATTATGACAGAATATTTCATTGACTATGATGCAACCATTTAATATAACTACTAGTATTCCAAGCTCTTCTAAAATCAGATGATGTTTGCAAGTCAATAAGCGATATTTTTTTGCCTCTGTTTCATCGTCAGCTTCAACACAGGATAGAAACAGAAAATACCCTAAATGTTGACTATTAAGAAGACCACTAGGTGAAAAGGTAAAATCAATTCCTAAATTCAAGAAATAGTGAGCATGGGGGATATAGAAAGCTAACAATTGAGCACTAAGACCACTAGATAATTAACATAAAGCAAAGCCAAATCCGTCAGCTCAAAGGCAAATATTTCCAAAGCAGAGCAAAATGACATCTTTATTTTAGCATCAACGCACACAATAGTCACTTCAGCCCGAAAGGTTATGAAGACAAGCATAGATTCCATGCAACCACATTACAACCAGAGCCTTTGATAATAACTTATATACATCAATGCAAAGCAAAGCAAAGAGGAGGCCAGTAGGCTCATACTTGGTCCAATCCATAGATGGTGCAGCTCATGAGGATATGACAGCTAGGAAGAAAGAAGCACCATCTCACTCAACTGCCATTAGATCAAAAGTGAGGCACTACTAGCATAACTTTTTAGAGCCGGGAAGAAAGCATGCTGGACAAGACTTTGTTTGAGCCGATATTCATATATCCGCAGGTCTCTATGACCACAATTGGAACTTTCAATCAATTTGCCGTCACTGTCAATTTGAAGCAGCCACCCACGAAAATTGAGCAGCAAGAGCACGTCACCATCCCCCGAAACAACACCAACACCCAAACCCCAGCTTTCACCATAGTCTCCAAACTTCTTCCTGATTTCACCAACCGGCAATTTGATTCGGTACTTTATGTCCCAAACCTCACTTTCATAATCCTGCAACACCCATATAGTGATGATTTCCATGGCATCATTATGGCAATCAATGCCGAGCGTGCCATCCATCGCAAACAGGCCAGGGTCACTGTCGCCAAGAACAAGTGGAGCACGCATGTGCCGGAATGACTCGGCGGTGGTGTCAAATACCAATACATGTTTTCTATGCTCAAGTAGGAACCAATGTAGGCTATCACGGATGAGGGCAGATATCTCTATGCACAGCACTTTTACCATCTCCAGCCACCCAATGTACCTCGGTGGCTGGTCGGAACCAAGCGGAAGGACATAGCATCCAGTTTGGCCTTCAGGAGCAGAGAAATTGGTCAGCAGCAGCCGGTACTCGCCGGTAGGTGGGTGTGGGTACATCCCCACGATGTTGAAGCCCCACGGTGGACACCTGAGGGAGGCATGCTCACGCGTGGCCGGGTTGTAGAGGGCGAGGCGGCAGCCAGAATAAGACCTGGAGAGGAGGAGGCCATCGCAGGAAGCCTCCAGGAAGAAGGGCTCGTCATGCCGAGCGACGGTGTGGAGCTGGGCAGCACGCTGGTCCAAGGCGAGAAAGTTATGACATCCGCCGCTGGAGAAAACGGGTAAGGCGGGTTGGCGGGCGTGGTGGGCGAGGAGGAAGCGGCGGGTGGAGGTGGCGCAGCGCCAGGCGCGGCGGACGGCGCGGCAGCGGAGGAGGGATTTGGGGTCGAGGCGGACCAGGATCTCCCACAGGACGATCTCGTCCAGGAGGCCCTCGAGAAGAGGCGTCGCTCCTTCGGCCGCGGCCTCCTCCGCCATGGTCGCCGGCTGCGGCTGGGAGTTGTGGTGGTGGCGGCGGAGGGTAGGTGGGGGTGGAGCGTAGGTCTTTGAGCTGGGCTGGGCTGGGCTCAGCCCAGGTTTTGTTTGCACGGCCACTCAGACTGAGTGCCCACAAATCTCAAAAGAAAAAAATTGAGAACTGAACCATACTTTGAATTATGCAAGACAAATATGAGTGTGCATGATTATCTTCTGAGAACTGAAACGTATTGTGAATTTTTACCCATTACACCGTATGTTTTTTTTGCAGGATGTTCTTCGAGAAGACGCAAAAACATTAGTACGTATCAATGCATTCATATGAGAGAGAGAGAGAGGGAGGGAGAGGGAGACAGTGTGCGTGTGCGTGTTATTTGTATAATTGTATATGCGCACAAGAAGCAACAACCCCAGGAGCACAAATGGTACACTGTGCTAGGCACCAAAGCTGCCCCCGCTTCGCTCTGCTCAGGGCTACGCGGATGGCGACGCAACCCTAGCGGCCACCCCCCCTTCCCCTCCTTGCCACCGTCGAAGGGGTCACCGAAGAGAGCCGCGCGGCTGCCAAGGAAGGTGGCAGGAAGGCCTTGCTGCTTCGTCTACACGCGGAGGGTTCCGGATGCCGAGGTGGGGGCCTCGGGTGCTGCGGCGAGCGGCGTTCGCTAGTGTTCCTCCTCCCCCTTGGCCGTGGGGGCGGCGACTGGTGGACTCAAATACATAGGAGATTTGCCTACTGTGAAGCAGTGACTTTATTAAAAAAATAGTAAAGTGGTATGGGAAGCACCTTTTGCACTTTTAATATATAGGGGATCTGCTAGAGATGCACTAAGGGGAACTCTAAGAGGGATCACCAAACAGATGACACAAAATGTCCACCAACACGACTAGACGTGTCTGTATACAGCAGGCAGTGCGTTGACCATCCAGCCGTACTCATCAAATCCGGACAGTGGGTATGACTTACAGTGGATGGACTGAGAGGGGAAAAAAATGAGTGAGACACATGTGCTAGGAGGAGATGTGGTCCAACTAATAGTGGGTTAGGCAGACGCCTGGACTTTCTTATATCCCCTCCCCCATTTGGTACCAGTTTGGGGATTCTGAATATCCGAATTGGTCCGGACAAATTTCACGACTCGCATTGCATGGCTTAAAGTGTCCAAACTATCCAGTTCAGACATTTGTGGGCGATTTGACGAGCCACGTTGGGGTTGCCCTAATATAAGGTATGTATCTTGTGACCAAACGAACACCAAAATTTGAAACTGAAACTGACAAGCAGAAGCAACTGCTTCGTGTGACCATCGACAACGCTCCCATTCTATGGCTTGGAAACTCAAACATCCAATGCTTGAGAGTCGACCTAATACCTATATAATGCCATCTAAAAGATTGCTAGGTGATGGCAATAGAGGAAACCAGGTGAGCGTACTTTGGTGATGTGCTGGTTTGCAAATGGAAAGGTTTAACGCTACAAAGCACCAGTTTCAGTGTTCTTTTGTCAGATAACATTTGGTATTATGGACAGAAACATGCAAACTATCAGGCCTGCAATGAATAATAACATGAACGGTTAAAGCACGGACATCCAGCAATGTCCGGAAGTGGAAACGCTGGAACAGATGCAAACTATCATCACAAGTTAATGTTGCAAGACGCTGGAACAGACGCAGGTCTTTCTAACCTAGCCGCTAGCACACCAACCCTTTTCCTATTCGTGCTGCTTGCAACCCGAAATGTTCTAGTGAGTGGGTTATATTTTGTGAGACATTTACCAACTTAATAAAGAATGTGGGCGACTGAATAAAATCTGCAAGGGCTTTGTCTCGGCATTCACCGCATACATTGTTGGCCCAATAATTTAAAATAACTATGTTCTATATTTTCGGTGCCAAAACCTAAGATACTACGGTTGCACTGTCGAGTAGATATTAACTATGACTTCCACAAAATTCAGTGAAAGGAATGGGAAATGAGTCATAGTGAACAGAGGTTTGGTTGGTAGTTCGTCATAAATAAATGGTGTCAACTACTCTTATGCAACCATTTACTTTAATGTGTAGTGCTCAAGCTGCTCTAAAAATTAGATGCAACTTGCACATCAAGAAACAGAAAAATCTTTTCTCATTTCATCATGAGCGACAACAGAGGGTACAAACCGGAAACACACTCAATATAGACTATCAAGAAAACCACTAGATAAGAAGGTAAAGTCAACTCTTTGACTCAAGGAAGAGGGACATGAGCCATAAAAATTGCTAACAATTGAATACTAAGAAAATCACAAGATAATTAAAATAAAGCAGAGTCAAACTATCAGCCCAAGAAAATAGACACATGAGGCGGATCAGTTGGCAATTATGTACAAAGCAGAGCAAAATTACTAAGAAATTATAGCATCAACATACAAAATAGTCATTTCAGCCCTCCAGGGTGCCAAGAAAAGCATAGATAAACACACAAAAGATAGAGCTTCTAATCATAATTTATATACATCAATGCAAAATGAAGAAGATGCCAGCAGGCTCATACTTGATCCAATTCATAGATGTTGCAGCTCATAAGGATACAACAGTTAAGCTGCTAAGAAGCACCACCTCGCTCAGTAGACATCAGATGAATGGTGAAGTGTTCACAACAGAACTTTCTAATGCCTGAAAGAAGGTATGCTGGACAAGACTTTGCTTGAGCCGATATTTAGACAAAAAGAAGTATTTGCGACCATGATCAAAACTGTCAATCAGCTTACCATCATTGTCAACGTAAGACAGACACCGACCAGAACTGACTAGCAAGAGCACGTCATGGTCTGCTGAAACAACCTCCACATTCCAATGGTCATTAAAGGCCTCAAACTTCCCCCGTATTTCTGCAACTGGCAATTTGATTCGATACTTGAAGTCCCAAACCTCGCTTTCGTAGTTCTGCAATACCCATATATCAATAGTTGTTTTGACATAGTTACGGTTATATATGCCGAGTGTATCATCCATCTCGAAGGCATATGAGTTGGTGGAAACAATTGAGCACGCATTGGCCAGAACGACTCAGCTATGGTGTCGAATACTATCGCTTTGCTTTCACTCTGAAGCCGTACGTAGCTGCTTTCACTCACATAATATACTGGGTACCAAACTACCAATGCAGGCTATCGCATACCAAGACAGGTAAACTGAAGCACTGTGATGTTGACTCCTGCCACCCGATGTACCTTGGTGACTGGTGAGAGCCCAATGCAAAGACATAGTAGCCAAGTTGGTCTTCAGGCGTTTAATTGTAGCTATCGAGTTCAAGTAACAATCGATACTCGCCGGTAGGTTGATGCGAGTACACCCCCAATAACCGCAAGCCCAATTCATGTAGTTGCTGAAGGGGAGCAAATTGACGAGTGGCCATGTTACAAATTGAGAAATCAATGGTGTCAGTCATGTTGTACCTGGAGACAACAAGAAGGCCATCGCAGGAAGCCTCTGGATTGAAGGCCTTGTCAAGATGGGCGACAGTGTGGAGCTGGGTGGCGGCAAGGCAGTCGACAGTGAGGATGTATTCTTCGTCTAACGCGATGGGTGGGCTGGCTGGTGGGCATGGTGGGCAAGCAGGAAGGCGCGGGGGGAGGTAGCATGGCGCCACGTTCGACGGACGGCGCGGCAACGGAGGAGAGATTTGGGGTCGAGGCGAACTAGGATCTCCCAGACGACGATCTCCTCCGGAAGGCTGCTGTCGTGGCGAAGAGGCGCCGCTCCTGCCCTTGCGGCCTTGGCCATGGTTGTCGGCATCTTGGTTGTTGCTCCCTTCCAGGAACAAGATAAATTGTAGATTTGTGTTGGCGGCGGCGGCGGCAAAGGGAGCGGAGGAGACGATAGAAAGGGGAGAAATTGACTAAGATGGTTCTTTTGCAAGGTCTAACTCTGCAGGAGATGAGAGAATTCTTTATTTGGCCCTTCTGAAAAATATATTTCCTTATTGGCCCCCTAAACAAATTTTTCTTTGCTATTTAAGACAATCTCAAAATTTTATTCCCTATTTGACGTTTCCATCCATTTTCGTTGTTGAGTGCTACTTGAAAATATACAATTATCCCTAAAAGGAAACGCTTATTGACGGAGCTAGATCTGGCAGACCTCCTAGTAGGGCATCCTAAACTAGGCGTCTAGGAATGACGGTAACAAAGACACGGTCTACCCAAGTTCAAGCTTTCTGAAGGGATAATACCCTAAGTCCTGCATGTGTTTATTCCCTTTGGACTATGGACAAAGTACAGGTAAACTACCAAGATATCATAAATTGTGTCTACCAGCATGGCCCCTCGATTAATATAGGATACTGGGTGTTCTAGGGTACAAGATCCTAGTTGCCTACACATGAGGACGTAGATCCCTACACGAATCCAGTGTCTTATCATGTACACATGTCTTCTGAATCTTCCTTGTATGTGCCATGGGCTGTCCGATGCGGCCAGGACGAAACCGACAAGGAGTCCTCAACCGGACCCATCACCAGGAGTTGACGTGGTAAGTGACCCCTTAGCCGGGACACTGTCTCTTATCTCTCTTAGAACTTCCCTCACTCTTTGGACATGATGAGCTTGACGACGTCGAGGCATGCATGCCTCGGTGCGTCGCTCCATGACCAGCAACGCAAAGCTGTTGTGGATGTCAAAGTTAAGAGGCGCATGTCAGGCATTCAATGGGACGCTGTCCATGAAGACCTGGCCCTAGCAGCCCCAGCAAGGTGCACGCGCTCTGTCGCCGGAGAACCGGTACTTCATGGACACCGTCAGGTAACTCTCGAGGCGCCTACTAGGCGGTTGATCCATAAATCTGGACCAGCAGCTTGCCTGCCGCCCCGCCATGCATGTGTGGCCGTGACGCGATATAGGTCATTGCTCACGACCATATCGCTACACATGCCACAGCCCAGCAAGCCGCCCTTGTTGCTCTGCGGATGCTCCATGATGACAAAAAGAACTGACGGGCTGGACAAAAGTGCCGAATTGAACTGGACGGTAGTGCAAAAACACTGACGGACTATGGATAGTTTTGTCCAAGCAACAAAAAACTTACAGGCTTTCGACAGAGCATGACAACGGACTGGCCGGAGATGCCAAATTGGGCATCAATTTTGGAGGTAGTGTCACAATGGGAAGAAATTCGTATTTTGGCCAAATAAGGAAGCGCATTTTTGAAAAGGCTCTAATAGGGAATTCTCTCACATAACACTCCTGGTAAGAAAATGAAATAAATATTTCACTAACAACACAAAATGAACATGACCTTTGCACATGTGTCAGAACCAACGAATTTACAACCTTTCACAACGCACGGGTGGATTTTCTTAGCAAATTAACCATGCAGGACAAATATGAGTGTGTGTAGTTATCAATTTGATGAACCAAAACGTAATGTGAATTATGTATTACACTTGTCCTTTTTTGTAGGCAGAAAATAAATTCATATCAATGTGTTCAGTTAAGCTGATGTTCTAACTCCAAGTTTGATGAACACCTAAAGCATGAGCAACATATAGAACTATAGTACGAACAGGTCACAGAATGCACATGAAGTAGTCAGTTAGCAACATGAGATTGTACATAATAATATGACATATGGATCTTGTGACCAAACAATGACCCCAAATTTGAATTTGAAACTGACAAGCAGAGGCAACTACTTCATGTGACTGTCGACAGCATTCTGTTCTATTCTTCTATGACTTGGGAGACTCATATTTCTGATCCTCCGAGTCGATGTAATGTCTATATAATGTCATCTAAAAGATAGCTAGGTGATGGCAGCAGAGAAAATCAAATGAGGTAATAATGTCTTATATTATGGGATGGAGGGAGTACTATTTTGGTGATGTGCCGAGTTGCAGATGAAAATGGAGTGTTTAACGCTACAAAGCACCAGTTAGTTTCAGCGTTATTTCTTCTCAGATATCATTGCAGACCGAAACATGCATATATACTATCAGACCTGCAGTGAATAAGAACATGAATGGTTAGAGCTGGCTCATCCCACAATGATCAGAATGGGAATGCCGGAACAGATGCAAACTATCATCACATGTTACTTTTGAAGAGGGTCGACATATCTCTTTCTAACCTAGCCACCAACACACCATCTTTTTCTTTTCCTATTGCTTGTAACTGAGAATGTTCTAGTGAGTGGCTTATACTCCGTGTGACATATATGATCGTAATAAAGAACGTGGGTGACTGAATAAAATCTGCAAAGGTTTTGCCTCGGCATTCACCATATACATTGTTGGCCCAATAATTTAAAATAACTATGTTCTATATTATCGGTGCCAAAACCTAAGATATCATGTGTTTTGGCAGTGCCAAATAGATACTAATTCTGAATTCCCAAAAAATTCAGCCCTAAAATGCCATCTTGAATTTCACATATCAACATTACTCAAAACAATGTAAACTGAGTCACAATGAACAGAGGTTTGGTTTGCTAGTCCGCCATAGCTAAACGGTACCAACTGCTCATGAGTATTTTTCCAATATAGCTAATCCCTTGGCAGAATATTACTTCCAGATTCATAATGGAAGTTTTCCTGACATTTCAACTAGAGACTGAGCTGATAATGCAGATGATGGAGATGCTGAGCGACTTAACAAAGACACATGAACAAGATGTGAAGCCGAATGGGGCCATTTAGCGCCATCATCAAATGAAGGATCTGTTCCTTCAAGTGAAGGGAAGACTGTAGCATCAGCGGTATTCAGCATTTTTTACCCTTGTTGGTACCAATTTGTGAACTATGAGCTTGTATTTAATTTGACATGCTGACTTGTGTACGTCACCAACAAGGTACAAAGTAGAGTAGGGCCCTGATAATTGAATTCAGCTACTGGAATGTCACTAGTGCCAGGTAGCAACGCAATACTGCATACAATGATCTCAAAAACAGATATAACTAGGTGAAGAAGTAACAGATGTACAGTGAGAACTAGTAATAGAAGTAATAGATATCTCACCTGGCATTCCATGAATCCCCTGCAACTCTCTCACCCAGAAGTCAATATTCCAACACGTTTGAGTTCAATGTGATTGATTACATCTCCATGATTAGCTTTGTTACATAGCATGATCCAATCAACACATGTATCTCAGTTGAGGAATAGAGAGGCCCTAGGTCATGAGAAAACAGAGGATGTGAGCATACACACTGCACAAGCGCATGCCCCCAGGCCCCAGCCCCGTGGCGACAGCCGTTCAGCTCGCTCTGCTGCAGCCAAAGAGCACCAAAATCCGAATACAGTTTATGTTGAAGAGACTTCTTGATCAATCTCCAGTCTCATATAGCAGATATGCCTGCTGGATCAACTGATCTGGATGATGAATTTACTTTTACAATTTATTTCAAAACTCTGAACAAATGATCAGAGTGACTTTACCCTTGCTTCTACAGCCGTGCTGTCACACAACAGTGCAAAACCTTTTTGGCATCAGCATTCACAAATAATATGTACTTGGTAGTTAGTACAGCCTGGATGTGGATGGATGGTCACCAGGCAATTTATTCATGGGGGCATGTACATATGGATGGCAACAGTCAATACAATCTGATACGCTTCATGGTTTTCCAGGACCCTGCAGATCAGCCCAGACATTATATTTCCTAAACACTGGTAGCCACGGTAGACATGTTTTACGGCACTAGGGCAATTTTGACCCCTGATGTGACTGTCTGCTCGTCGAGCCCGTAGAGAGCATCGATGAGGTGCATCCTGAGAGAGGCAGGCCCTTTAGCCGACTCCATCCCAATCTCTCCGGCAAGCCCAAAGATGGCAAGAGCACACGCTGCTGCGGCCAGAGCATCGGAGGGATCTGCCCCGACAAAAGCCGCTATAAGAGCAGTCACGGCACACCCTGTGGCCGTGATCTTCTGCATCATGGGCACGCCGTTGCTCGCGCTGACAACCTGCTCGCCATCCGTGATGAAATCAACTGCTCCAGATACCGCGACGACGGCCCCGCTGGACCGTGCCAATGCTTTCGCGGCTTGCAGGGCCTCCCCTGAGTCATGTGAACTGTCAACACCCTGCAGTTGGCCAGAAGTATTAGTGCCATCAGCGGCATGATGGAATATATACTCTAGGCGGGAATAGGCTTGGTATGTGTGTTGGTCATCTTCAAATAAGAGGGAGATAATGCAATCAGGCAATCGTCCTGGAATCCATGCAAAAAAATTTCACTAACGCAAGGGACGTTTGACCAGCAGTCTAAAATTTCTTCAGACAGGATAAAATTGTTTTCCCTTTCCCATCTTATTAATGGATTTGGCATGGTGCCTGTGTTACCTCTCAAACTACTCATCGCTGTGGGGAGAGTGCTCAAGTGGGAGGAGGGACACAGTAAGACAATTAGTCGCTTTGTTGTTCCTCTCCTTTGTGGTTCTTCCATAGCATTGCCATTCTCTGTTTTCTGCACTTGTGATACAAGGTAACTTCAGCATGTTTGAACCTTACACGTTCTGTGTCGAACTGCTTATTTTAGCTTTCACTTAAAGCTGGGCTATGGTTTTTCTTTTAAATCTGAAATTAACCACAAGATTACATGGACGGCATATGTTTCCAGCAAGTCAATTTGAATGACAACCACAATGACCCCAAATGAGCTGAAGGATCAATCTTAGTTTAAAATAACAGTACCAGGAGCACGTGGATCAAATAAGTTTATAACATTGCAGTGTCACAATCTATCATCTGATTTAGTTAAGATTTTGTGCTGATCAAATCAACCCTAGGATTGGATTGGATTGGAAATTAGCAATCAGTTGCTAATAGGATTGGATTTAGTTGAGGTACCTTGAAGGAGGAGGAGGAGCTGTCTGAGCTGGAGGCGAGGGCGAGGATCTCGGACGCGTTCCCCCTGACGACGGCGGGGCGGAGCGCGAGGAGCTGGAGGCAGGCCTCCATCCGGAAGCCGGAGGCGGCGACGGCGACGGGGTCGAGCACCCAGGGGCGGCCGGCTGAGGCGGCGGCGCGCATGGAGGGAAGCCAGTCCTCGGAGAGCGTTCCGACGTTGATGTAGACAGCGTCGCAGCGCGGGGTGAAGTCGGGGATCTCGCGGAGGCAGTGGAGCATGGCGGGGGAGGCGCCGGCGGCGGTGAGGGCGTTGGCGGCGATGTCCATGGAGACGAGGTTGGTGATGCACTGCACCAGCGGCGCCCGCTCGCGGACGGCCGACAGCAGCGCCCACGCGCGCCGGCCCCACCACGCCTCCGTCCTCTCCTCGTCCATGCCGACGCTCGCCGTGGGTCGGGGATTGATTTGGTTATGCGGCGGGGTTGGCGGCGCACGCGTAGATGGAGGAAGCGAGCCGAGGAATGGATATTTCAGTTTGCCCACTTATTATGTTTTTACCTAAAGTTGCATTTTGTGAATTGACGCTCGACTTTGAGGAAATCTTAGTCGGCTTGAAATTAGTAAACTCAAATGATAAGTGACATATGTCAGGTGCGTGGTACTTTGACCGTGATGTTTTTCCATGGCAATTCCAATCATACAAGGATGGCAATTTCTAATGACACACGGTAAATTTTTGATTCGATGACAATTTCAGTTACACAAGGATGGCAATTTCCAATGACACACGGTGAATTTATCACAAAAATAAACCAAAGCACTAAAGTTGCCATGCTTAGCAACTAAAGTTGCTATCCTCGTGTTACTAAACTTGCCGCTGTAAACATTCAGAGTTGCCATGGATTGAAGCGAGGAGGAAGAAAACAAACATCTGTTTGACCCACCCGTCCTACATGGCAAGTGGGAAGAGAGAAAATCACTTGCATGTAGCCATTTTTCCATAAAAATTTGAATTAGGATGAAATTTATCCAGTTTAAGACTAGAAGCAGAAAAATCATGAAAGGTAAAAAAAATACAACAAGGTCCTTCGAGTTTGCTAACTGCGACTCATCTTATATCCTTCATGCCATCAGAAGAGGGAATGAAGACGTAGGACATATATGTGGAGAAAACTTCCTCCTCAATGTCATCGCAATAGTCATTCATCACATACGGTAGTATTTTTAGTCTAGTGAAATGTAATGCCTCGGTCACAACCACCGGTTCTCGGCCGTTACGCCTGGCGGTATCTAGACTGTCCCACAGACCAACACTAGTCTTTCCTCTCCACTTTTGTCCTCACTCGTGCGCACCTGGGACCAACTTTTCAGTCGGCCACTCATCCTAGAATCGCTACAAGCCAAGCACGCCTAACTTTGGAGTTCTTTTCAAATGGGCTTTCGAAAAAAAAGGAATTTCTTATTGATATGCGTAATCTATCTATCCTATTAAGCCAGGCTCCGACATGAAAAGTTCAATACACACTTTTTCAAGCACTTGCACATTTATAGAAACATGCAAAGCTATTTTTAACTTATGGTTGCAAAATCAAATGGCACATTTCACCCTACACCTAAGGTGTGTCTAGTGAGCTGTTGGGGAACGTAGCAGAAATTCAAAATTTTCTACGCATCACCAAGATCAATCTATGGAGTAATCTAACAACGAGGGGAAGGAGAGTGCATCTACATACCCTTACAGATCGCTAAGCGGAAGCGTTCAAGTGAACGGGGTTGATGGAGTCGTACTCGTCGTGATCCAAATCACCGATGATCCTAGTGCCGAACGGACGGCACCTCCGCGTTCAACACACATGCAGCCCGGTGACGTCTCCCATGCCTTGATCCAGTAAGGAGAGAGGGAGAGGTTGGGGAAGACTCCGTCCAGCAGCAGCACGACGGCGTGGTGGTGGTGGAGGAGCGTGGTACTTCAGCAGGGCTTCGCCAAGCACCGCAAGAGACGAGGAGGGAGAGGGGTAGGGCTGCGCCAAGAAGGAGATTTTCTCATGTCTATGGCAGCCCAAAACCCCACTATATATAGGGGAAAGGGAGGGGCTGCGCCCCCACCGAGGTTTCCACCCCTAGGGGTGGCGGCCAGCCCTAGATCCCATCTAGGGGGGCGGCCAAGGGGGGAGAGAGGGGGGCGCACCACTAGGTGGGCCTTAGGCCCATCTGAGCCTAGGGTTTCCCCTTTTTTCCTTCTCTCTTCGCCTTGGGCCCTGGTGGGGGGCGCACCAGCCCACCTGGGGCTGGTCCCCTCTCACACTTGGCCCACGCAGCCCTCTGGGGCAGGTAGCCCCACCTGGTGGACCCCGGGACCCTCCCGGTGGTCCCGGTACGTTACCGATAGCACCCGAAACTTTTCCGGTGACCAAAACAGGATTTCCCATATATAAATCTTTACCTCCGGACCATTCCGGAACTCCTCGTGATGTCCGGGATCTCATCCGGGACTCCGAACAACATTCGGTAACCACGTACATACTTTCCCTATAACCCTAGCGTCATCGAACCTTAAGTGTGTAGACCCTACGGGTTCGGGAGACATGCAGACATGACCGAGATGACTCTCCGATCAATAACCAACAGCGGGATCTGGATATCCATGTTGGCTCCCACATGTTCCACGATGATCTCATCGGATGAACCATGATGTCGAGGATTCAATCAATCCCGTATTCAATTCCCTTTGTCCATCGGTACGATACTTGCCCGAGATTCGATCGTCGGTATCCCGATACCTTGTTCAATCTCGTTACCGGCAAGTCTCTTTACTCGTTCCGTAACACATCATCCCGTGATCAACTCCTTGGTCACATTGTGCACATTACGATGATGTCCTACCGAGTGGGTCCAGAGATACCTCTCCGTTTACACGGAGTGACAAATCCCAGTCTCGATTAGTGCCAACCCAACAGACACTTTCGGAGATACCTGTAGTGTACCTTTATAGCCACCCAGTTATGTTACTACGTTTGGCACACCCAAAGCACTCCTACGGTATCTGGGAGTTGCACAATCTCATGGTCTAAGGAAATGATACTTGACATTAGAAAAGCTTTAGCATACGAACTACACGATCTTTGTGCTAGGCTTAGGATTGGGTCTTATCCATCACATCATTCTCCTAATGATGTGATCCCGTTATCAACGACATCCAATGGCCATGGTCAGGAAACCGTAACCATCTATTGATCAAGGAGCTAGTCAACTAGAGGCTTACTAGGGACTGAAGGAAATATGCCCTAGAGGCAATAATAAAGTTATTATTTATTTCCTTATAATCATGATAAATGTTTATTATTCATGCTAGAATTGTATTAACCGGAAACATAATACATGTGTGAATACATAGACAAACAAAGTGTCACTAGTATGCCTCTACTTGACTAGCTCGTTAATCAAAGATGGTTATGTTTCCTAACCATGGACAAAGAGTTGTTATTTGATTAACGAGGTCACATCATTAGTTGAATGATCTGATTGACATGACCCATTCCATTAGCTTAGCACCTGATCGTTTAGTATGTTGCTATTGCTTTCTTCATGACTTATACATGTTCCTATGACTATGAGATTATGCAACTCCCGTTTGCCGGAGGAACACTTTGGGTGCTACCAAACGTCACAACGTAACTGGGTGATTATAAAGGAGCATTACAGGTGTCTCCAAAGGTAGATGTTGGGTTGGCGTATTTCGAGATTAGGATTTGTCACTCCGATTGTCGGAGAGGTATCTCTGGGCCCTCTCGGTAATGCACATCACATAAGCCTTGCAAGCACTGCAACTAATATGTTAGTTGTGAGATGATGTATTACGAAACGAGTAAAGAGACTTGCCAGTAACGAGATTGAACTAGGTATTGGATACCGACGATCGAATCTCGGGCAAGTAACATACCGATGACAAAGGGAACAACGTATGTTGTTATGCGGTCTGACCGATAAAGATCTTCGTAGAATATGTAGGAGCCAATATGGGCATCCAGGTTCCGCTATTGGTTATTGACCAGAAACATGTCTCGGTCATGTCTACATTGTTCTCGAACCCGTAGGGTCGACACGCTTAAGGTTACGATGACAATTATATTATGAGTTTATGCATTTTGATGTACCGAAGGTTGTTCGGAGTCCCGGATGTGATCACGGACATGACGAGGAGTCTCGAAATGGTCGAGACATAAATATTGATATATTGGAAGCCTATGTTTGGACATCGAAAGTGTTCCGGGTGAAATCGGGATTTTACCGGGTTACCGGGAGGGTTACCGGAACCCCCCGGGAGCCATATGGGCCTTCATGGGCCTTAGTGGAAAGGTGAAAGGGCTGCCCACCAGGGCTGCGCGCCTCCCCCCTTCCCCTAGTCCTATTAGGACTAGGAGAGGTAACCGGCCACCCTTCTCCTCTTTCCCCCTTCGGGGATTCCTAGTTGGAATAGGATTGGAGGGGAGTCCTACTCCCGGTAGGAGT